TCCGTTTGTCTGCATCCTCTCACAGACCAGAAATTCAGGGGTACACATCCGTCCTAAAGGTTCAGAAGTACGTGGAAAGACACAAGAACGTCTAGGAAGAGACGTGGAAGTTTAGGAAAACAGGGTGTATACAGTGCCCTCGAGAATCGCGCGTGAAATAATGTGCCTTGTCGTGAACGCACACAATTGGACGCACCATAAGACTAGAACACGTTCAGGTAGAACAGGTGGGATACAGTAGCGTGGGAGGCGCATAGGCAGTAGCACTTTCAAACTGAGCGGTGCCCGGGTGCCGGTGGGCAGCGGCATTAGCGTCGCAACCTCACCCCGGAGCCCTCAGCCTGACACATTTAATTTCACGCGCACTTTGCAGGGGTACTGTATGCAGCCCTGTTTTTTCTGAACATATAATCTTGTTGGAAAGACAAGGCAGACAAGACATGAAGTGGCTAGTCGCGCTACTAGTTGGCAAATCCGAACTACTCAGCCTCGGAAGTTCGCGCACGATTTTTTTGGATCTTAAGTGGTTGGTTTTCAGATTTACAACCTGCAATGGCCAGTGCGCTTCCGTCACATTGAATACCACCATCAATGGAGTCTCCCACACCGCCTCACTTTATACCTGCGATCCTACGTCTGTTTGCCAGGCGCTGAGTATGTTCCCGCTTGCTGCAGTCTTCTATGAGCAGTAAAATGACAATAATTCCAGACATGACCAACAAGTGCAACATTTACGAGCCAGGAATCGGAGGATGCTGCTGTGACACCGATGCTTGTATCTACCCACCAAAGAACAGAGTAAGTACATTTCCATGGGTTGGTTGAAGATGCATCTTGGGAACAGAAGTGGGCGGAGCCTCACAAACATTGCGCCCTCCTCATTGGCGCGCCCTCATCTTCACCGTACTAGCGGGAGGGGCGCACCAATGAGGAATGCACGATAGTTGTGGATCTCCACCCATCTAGCTATTATGGAATAAGTAAAGCTATCAGAGAACATTGCCTCACATTTCAGAGCCCTGCAAATCGTCTGATGTGCTATGTTGGAATGTACGCACCTAAGGCAGGAGTCAACGTCGGAGGAGAGGTACTGTAAGCGTCGTATCTTCTGTATGGTCAGGCTGCTTCTTTCTATGGCAGCTCCTTCTGCTCTTGCTCATTTGAGAGAGATGAGCCGCATGGCTACGTCTGAGATAGTCTTATGCTGAGGAGAGAGAGAAGGCTAGAGGATGGCACCACCCTGTTCCGTTCTCTGACCTTCTACGTCTCCTTAAAATGAACACTATCCCATGCAGCCCAATCTACTACGGCACGGTATACGGCAATCAGT